TAAGCATTTACTAAGCTTTTCCTATTAATTGTGTCCCAAAAGGTTTTTTTCTGGACTAAGGGATTTTGAATTGAGTTTTCTAGCTAAGCAGTCTTTTTTAATTTTTAAAAGCTTCTTATCCGAAGCGAAAACGGCGAAAAGACAAATAAAAGCTATTAACATTTCCCAGAAAAAGTGGTTTGCGATTTCAAAGCTTTCTCAGAAAATTATTATAGCGGCAGCAGAGAATGTTAGTAGAACTGTTATTTTCAATCTATTTACAGTTACCAGAGTATGTTATTTTTTTATTACTTATTATTTATTAACGTTCACTGCGCTGATTAATGTATTCTGTAATGCGCGTGAAAGTCTGGCTTTATCTCAAAATCAAACATATGTATGTTCTATACAATAGAATATTATAGTACCGTTAAAGCATAAAATTAATGCTTGAAATGTGTTTTCGTAATTATTGTTTTATTTTAAATTAATGTAGCAAAAGAAAATAATATTTATTATATGCAACTGCCTTCTCCACTAGCCGACTTCCGGCACATGTAATAAATAAATATTTATTATTAGCAATTATGTGGCAAACAATATTAAATCGGTGATAGTTAACAACCAATATCATCGCTTAAGTTTCCATCAACACTGCTGAAGTGAAGCTGAATAGCGTTAATGGGAGTCGTTAGAGCAGGAGAGAGCCAGTGGCAATGGCACAAACAAAAAGCTGGATAGATGCTGGCAGGTAGGAACGGCAGTGACAGCTGTTCACACCGATTGCGCGTATTTGAGCGATCAATCATCGAGGTGTTGCAGCGCCGAACTGCTTGCTAATCGTGTTTACACGCTTCGCTTTTAGGAAATGTATGCGTGTATGTCTGAATAACTGTTAAGTGCTTGCATAGCATTTGTTTTCATTTGTGTGAGTATGATGGAGCGATTCGATTGCGTACTAAAATCTTAATACATTAAAAAAATATTGTATAATATAAAAAAGTAATTTGAATATTTATATCTTATTTTTGTATATATTTTTATTTTTTTTTTCAAGTAATTATAAAAAATAAATATTTTTCATCTCGCTCTATACGATGTGTGCTGATCAATAGTTTATCAATATCATGAATAGTTCAGCGAACAAACAACTAGACTCTCACCAGCAAGCATATATAGTATGAAGGCGTGCATTCAATTTTTTTATTATTAATAAAATAATAATAATATAAACATGAAATGACCTTTACGCTAACGTTTATTAATACACACACACATAGCTATTTACATGCATATTTTAGCAACAATAAAATCTTCACGTTTTCAACTTTCAATTTCCATAACTGTTATAAAACGTTCAAAGAATAGCTACTCAAAGCCACACGTCAACTTTGAGGTTAATATGGCTAACATGTGGCCAAGTAATCGCACGTTGGAATAATTAAGCATATCATAAAACAACAATAAAAATCGAATAACATTAGCATAACTCTTTGATCTGATTTGTGCGGCGAATGTGGAGATAATAGCATAAAAGTCACAAAAACTTGCGCGTAAAACTGAAATCACAACAAACAATGAAGCGTCGCCAAACAAAGAGCAAGCTGACGAAATCCGAGTGACGTAGAGGGCCCTATACACGCTAGCGTTGTTAGCTTAAGAAACCTGTTGAATCGCCGTTGCTAAGCTACGCTCGCCGGCAAACATAATGTGGCGATGAAAGCATGTGAATGTGTAGGTGTGAGTGTTTTATTGCTTTGCACATTTGTGGCAGGAATTTCTTTGCTTTTTGCAGCGTGCGCCAGCGTTGCCACGACAAAAGCTGGCTGCAAAAGCCACAATGCCAACAACAACAAAAACAAAAAACAGTGTAAAAGGCAAACAAAATAACAGTTGGTGTTGAAAACGCAAGCAAAGCAAAATGTTTAATAAGTGCCGGCGCGATAAATGGCAACAAAAAGAACAAGTGCTGCTTTTAATTTTAAGTAGACATATGTACAAACAAGAAATGGTATAACATGCATGTATGCGTTTGCACAATGCTATCGTGCAATTTTTTTCGGTTTTTTTATTTATTTATTTTTTTTTTATAGCAAATATAGAACAAGTGCATTTGAAAGCACGAGCCCAAACAGGGGAGCATTACAATTACATTTGTTATGGCCATATTTTTTTCATGACTGCTCTCAATTACCGCGTACTTTTTTGGTGCGAACTATTACTTTATATTTTTCATATAATACCGGATTTGTATTGTAGTCAAAGGCAGCAGGTTGAAGCGTGATTAAACTCAAAGAAAAAAATATATATTTTGACTTTCATATTTTTCTGTTTAAAAAATAATTCAACTTAAATGCCAAGAAATCGTTTATATCTAACGTATTACAAACTTTGGCGTTTGGTTTTGAATAAAATTTAATTGCTTGTTAAGCAATTTACATGCAACAAGTTGAACGATAAATACACAGCAAGAAATTATTTTATATTTGTATATGTCAATTATATAAACATGCATATTATATTGCTTTATTTACCATATAAAATGTCACGCCAACAATTCATAGTTATTACAAATGATGTTTTCACTCGCTATTATTATGCAGAAGTTATTGACTTCTATTAATCAAGAAGAAATAAAATGCATTTGTTTACGCGTAAATACTTGTATGTATGTAATATATAAATGGCATATAGCTAAGCAAAAGCAGAGAATGTCCAGGGGGTTTTTCGCAGCAAAGTGACTCACCAGACGAGACGATAAAGAAGACCTTTGGAGCAGCGCCAATCAACACTTTTTGCCTTGTTGTTTGTTCGACTTATATTTTAACATATGCATATATGTATAATTATCGGCTAGAAAATAAATTCCATACGCATAATGAAGTAAGAAAAGTCCCTTTCCCAAGAAACGTTGCGTTTGCTACACCGTTTTAAATGCATAAGTATACGTGAAAAATGCCAATTATAATGTGGTTGAACGATAATGCTACGAGTATTAGGCACTTTCACGTTTCTGCCGTTTACGAACGCGTCAACAGCGAGTTTTAATTTTTCATATATTGAGCGAACGCTTCATATTTTTACAATTAGCAATTTTTGCGCTTAAATGTGGCAATTGTTTACATATTTGCTTATATTATTATATTATATTTTTTTTTTTGCGGCTAAACAACCGGTAACCAGCTGTTCTGCGCTCAGCTTGTAAGCGGATAGGCGAGTTGTGTATGCGCATGCGCTTTCTCAAGGTTCGCTTACAGCCGCTTTTGTCGCTAGGAAAGGTTGAATATTGGCAAGTGAATACACCAAACAGGCGCAAAGTGTTTTGACCGCACGCTCGGCTGGCATACCATGCACTGCTGCATACATATATGACTTTGAAGCAATCAGCTTAAAAAAATTCAACACAAATTGTCGATCAACGACATGCAATAAAATATTAGCTTGAAGCAAATGTTGGGGAAAAAACACTGCTGCACCCAAAAACCCAGTTGAATGTGTCTTTTATTGCTTTAAAGTATAGCTTTTAGCAAGCAACAACTCGTGTTTCCTTTCCAAGCGTGCTTGCTGTGCGATTTTTTAACAATTTCAATATGCGCAATTAATTGTTTTGAATTTGGTTAATTCTCTAGCTTTGGTTATAATAAACAAATTTTGCCTGTTGGCTCAAGCTGCTTGGCGCGCTGTTGCTTAGTCTATAAGAAAGCGTTGCACCAAGCCAAATCTAGCATACTTTGTTATAATATTTTTGCAAGTTACTGTTACTTGCCTGCACCACGTTGCATATTCATAAACAAATTTTATTAAAATGGAAAGCCGTCATGCGACTTGGCCGGCTGTGCTCTTAATCGAAATAAATTATATTGATTTCATGTTATTCATAAAATATCTAATTTATAAGTTCGTTCTCCCTTTATTAAGGCTACTTGCCTAGGTTAGTAAAAGTAGTTTAAATGCAAATGTAGTATAGTTTACACTTAAATACTTGCACAGTCATGTTAATAACAGTGGGCGTTAAGTATAGTTTTGCCTTTGCCCTTGCCCTTTTCGAAGCCTACTTGCCGCTGACTGGTTTTGCCGTTGTATATGAGATGTTTATCATTCGATTTATCATGAAATAGATTTTGTTTGTTGATTAATTTTTAACATTACAGTTTAGTAAAGTTTAAACTTGTGGAAATTTTTTTATAAACATATTTTTTATAGTTATATAAAATTTAATATTTAATTTATACAACTTGTGTTGCTCATTCAGCACTTAAATAATATCATTTGATAATTTCAAACTAATTCTACAAAATTACAGGTTACATATTATAATTAGTCTATTTTATACGTCTTCCATACACACACATACACAGATAACATACAAACATACTGAAGTCGTTCTCTAGTTTGTGGTTTTATTATTCAACTATTAGCGCTGCTTAAGGCCCTTAATGTGACACGTTCACTAAAAAAATTGTATGAGAACGACGTCAAATTATTAAAATGCCAATTTTGCTAACGAAGACGAGAAAAAACTGAGAAATTCTTTCGTAAACAGGTATTTAAATGCTCAAATATTAAAAGCGACCATTGTCAACAACAAGAAATGTCATTTGATTGCCAAGCAAATTTAATGAAGTTGTCTATTTGGAGTAGATAAAAGTTTGTGTAGTAAACAACAACAAAAGCAACACAGCCGACACTTGAAACACGGCGACAAAGTAAACAAGCAAACAATCGAGCATATGGTACGCTAAAGTTAAAATAGTGTAGGCGTTTGATTACTGAAAGCTGGTGATTTGAGCGGAGGTATGGTACTTATGTATGCGTTTATTTATGAAAATCAAAGAAGCTCTAAAATGAATCCGATTTTAGCATAATTTGCTGCTTCTTACTACAGCTGCTGCATTAACTTCAGTACACTAGGTTGTGGCTGTTTAAGTGCAAAATCAATATTTAATGTTTCATTTAATTTTAAATTATCATTTAATAATTTTTTTCGCTTTTATAATCATATGTTAAATCGTAAATTACAGCTAATATTAATTACAACTCAGCGTACAGCCAACATACAATCAAAAAAAAAAAAACCAAACAAAAAAAACTGAAGTAAGAAAAACTCAAAACCGCAGTTAATCAATAAATAACAACAACAACAATGTAACGCCGCAAAGAGTCGTTTAGACGACCTTCATCATAATTTCACGTTTATTGTTCTCCGCTGACTAAGAGCGGCGCTTTCGGCGTTATTTAATACATTTCAGATTCACTTTAGTTACAATACAAGATTTGCGCAAGATTTGTTTATGCTTCGACGGCATTGCCGAGAACAGTTCAAAATCAGTTGTGATCGTCAGTGGAGCAGTTCGGTTCGGTTCGGTGCGACTGCCTTTGATACGTTGATCTTCAGCCAACCAGCGCGAGAACGAGCATCAGCGCGTTTTTATTAAATAAGACACTTCGATTAAATTACATGCAGCGTTAAATTAACGGCATAATATATGATTTATTGTCTCGAATTGCATTACGACAAATTACACGAGTATTCCAAGTGTGCGGTGCGAGGCACCACGCAGTGCTGAGTGAGTTTGATTGCCGTTCAACTGCTTTTAGTGTGAAAAATTGCTGCAATCATCAAACGACTATCAGGTGGGTGTGCTAAAACCGTTATCACATTAAAAAGAGATAGTGGCGCTGGTAAATTTCAAACAAAATTAGATAAAAAGTGTTGCGACAGTAATTTTTATCAAAAGAAAGTGCGTGAAACACAGAAATTGATGTAAATAATGAGTTCTTCTTCATAGAGCAATGATTGCAGCAAATACTCTAACAGACTGCACTAAAACTAATTACTCATTATTTACTAAGCTATGTAATGCGTTTTGCGCGTACCTTCTATATAGTCACTTTCACCTTCACCTGGTCACCGATTTTCGACTCAACTTCTGCACAACATTTTATGCAAAGAAAACAATATAATTCTATATAAATAACTTAACGGTAATATTACAACAATTCACGTAAATATAATATACACAATAAACGCTAAGTACAACAAGTTTTGCAAGCTTCGCGCCAAGTTAAGACATATATTTTAAACGATTACTTGTAACACAGATGAAATAGGTACGAAATTGGATTTGCTTTGAAGTTTCAATAGTTTTTGAAATACCAAAAGCCGTCACTTACTAATGAAAATATTCTTACTAATATTTAAAAATTATGTACATATGATTGTATGTGTTTTTTGGCTACGAGTGCCTTAAGTGTTCATAGGAGGCAATCTTTACAATATCGCTATACATTTTTCTTTGCCGCAAACTTTTATATATATACTTGTTTAATTAGGCTTACATCTCTGATAAATATTTGAGCGATCATTATGATCTATTTGTGCCCAAACATATCCACAATAGAAGTGTTTTACAGATTTATGCTCCCATAAATATACGCTTAATAAAATTTATAAAAAAATTTTTAACATTCGAAATATGCAGGGGAGTTTGCTGCAGTAAGGTAGAAGCTGTCATAAAAAAGGCGCAAGCTATTAGAAAAATTTTTTTTATTTTGTAGATTTTGCCTTAAGAGGTTACGTCCACTTGCAAATCAGAAAAAGGGCATTTTTTCGTTAATTTTTTTCGAAGAAGCATTTTATTTTCTAAATATGTAAAAATAATGCGCATTCGCAGAATTCAATGCACTTTAATAATCGGGGATTAATTTTGAAAAATTTTGTATTCTCTTGATTCCGCAGCAGATCTCTAGGAGCACCTTTGAAAATGGGTGTCTGGTGACGGGAAAAATTTTTCTGTTCAAAATCTCAAATGAAAAAAAGATTTATTAATTTAACAAATGAATGCAGGTAATGATTGAAGGACTACTCAAATTTGATTTGGCGGCTTCCAAAAAAATAACGAAATTATTATCAAAAATCTTATTCCATCAATCACTACCTGACAAAAAATTATCTAAGAAGGTCAGGTGTAAATTTCAAGTCAATCGGTTAAGCCGTTTGAAAGAAATTTTTCTCACGGGCTTTGAAACCTGCGCATCGAACGAAAGTTAAAAATTTTTTTCGATTTCGCTATTCATTTTATTTGCGAAACTATTTGCCGAATCAACTTCAAATATTTGGAGAATATTTTCCAATATATAATCCGTGGAAATGGCCATTTAAGGAAGATCAAGTAAAATCTTCTCCCAATCACTCTCAAATGAATTTATATGCTATATTACTAATTTAGAAAAACTCAGTTATAAAAAAAAAATGCAACAAATTCTATATGCAAAAGTTTAAATTTTTTGTTAGTTACGGCTGGAAGCAGCAGCTTAAATCAAAATTCAACTTCCCAGCCAGAAATTAAACGCTAACTTTGTCGGCGCAACACCTCATTAATGCATTTAAATCAACCGCAAGAAAAAACGAGCACCTTAATCACAACCAACACCCAAGCGACCAACAGCTGTGCGGCATTCTAAGCAACACAAACAACACAGCCGAGCGCATAACATATGCGGCAGAGTTAAACTTTTGCTTTTTCACGCTGTCATTCTGCAATTGATTGCTAATTGTCGGCGAGAAGACAGGCGGAACTGCACTCCTTGTCACATTAACACGCGGCGCGCATACAAATCGGCGGCAGCTGAACGAGTTCTGCTAAACTCTTGCCGTTCACACTATTTAATTCGTTGTTTTTATTGCTGGCACTAGCTTTGCACTAAACACAGCTGTTAAGCGCTGATTTCCATTTGAATTTATTACGGTGCTTAATATGCTGTTATTATTAAATAAAACACCTAGTTTAAACATGAGCAACCACAAGCATGTGTGTGTGTTGCTGAAAAGTGCATTCATTAAATGTGAGCGCTCGTATTACTCATACGCCTACGCGAACCCAGCCAGCGCCGTGGAGTGTGGCTAACAGGTGTCCACTTTGCTCGCATTAGCATAACACGACAGCGTGGCGTTTTGTGTGCACAGGCATTATATCATTAGTTATGTGCTTGATATTCACAACAGCTTAATTAAGTGTAGGCAAATATTGAATTGACAAAATGCTTGAAAATATGCTAATGACTTTGATCGCGCTTTTTGCTTACTTTTTCTGCGTTTCGGCAAGTGCAATGACTACTAAAATTACAATTTAACTACTACTTAACTGCGACTAAAATGTTGATATATCTATCACTTAATTATATAATTTGATTACATTGATTTATAGCGGCGCTTGTGTAATTGCGCTGACTGTGTTTATGTTGTTGTTATCTAGCTGCGTGTTACTGCCTTTACAATCTTTAAACTTTTCAACTACAATATTTTGCGCGTTTTTTCGGCATGTTGGCATTAAATTCGCTGCAACGCGCTTGCTTTTTCTTGCCTAATGAGTTGCTAATTAATGCAAAAGCATGCTAATCGGATGCTGAGTATGCCGCGCTTAGCCCGCCAAAGCATATCATTACATGCGATTTATTTACATATTGTTAATAAAGCGCGTTAGCGCAGAACAAATATCATTGAACTCTAAATGCATGTCTCAGCTACTTGACGGCTGTGAAATAATTTGAATGCAGCACTAAAAATATTCATTCGCTGAATTAAAGTGTGTGCATTTATAGTTTTGTGCATAATTCGTGACTAACTGACAGCTGGCGTGATAGGTATCAGCGGAGGCTCTGCATTATTTGCCTTTCACATTTAAATGTTGTACAATGATTTATGTGCTGTTTGACGTCATAAGATTTGCATAATTCGCTTAAATCAAATTAAAATATTTAATTTTGCTATTGTAAGTCAAATGATAGGGGGTTACGAACCGGAACAAATTGAAAATTATATAAATGTGTCTATTAGCAATTAAAATTGCGCTATATATTTATGCGAGTTTCCAGTGCAAGCAATTTGTGGCTCGTGTCGAATGTAATAATATAAACTAAAAACCTGTACAATTTTTCAGCCAACTGTGGTTGAAATCTGCTTTTAATGCCACAAATCCACTGTAACTCAAAGAAGGGTTAGTGCTGTTAGCATAAGCCTTAATGTGATTATGAACAAAAACTGGTATCAAAGTTAGGTCTTACATACTGCACTACTTAATACCAAGTAGTATTAACCAATACTAGTATGAAGAAAGATTGAGAACGCAATGTTGCCGCTTTGTATTAACACAATTTCGTCTTTGTCACATGCGCGCATAATTGTTGCAGCGCCAAAAGTGACTTGTTGCACGGCGCTTAAATGCTCTGTCAACAATGCCACAAATTCTAAAGACTTTTATGCAAGTAAGCCCCACACACACACACACACACACACAAATGAGTGCATACAACATCAATTTCAACAATTTTTCGACTCACTGGCGTTGATTGCTTTGTTGAAAACATTTTTGCTAGCATACGCACACATACATACAAACATGTGTGTGTGTGTGTGGAAAACATTTGTTTGCTTATTTGACTCCTATGCAGTTTAGATGGCGTGACTGTTACACATATATGCACATATTTACCTTGCATTTGCATACGACTTATGAATATGCCCCACACTGTCACACATACAAACAGCCACATGCGCAACTACACAATAGCAAGTGGCTATGTGCGCATTGGTATATTTTTAAGCCTCCTCAATGACACAATACATGCATATTTCTACAACACACATCTTATATTCACAACTGTACACATGCATACATACATATTAGAAACATATTTATTGCAGATGAATATTGCATGCTTTCGATTTGCTCGGCGCTGCGAACCGTAAAATGGAAAAGTGTGTTAACAAGCGCATGGAATAGAATATTGTGGCGCAACTATTGATTTATTTTTGCCAATTTTTCCGGTTGATCGACGATTTTGCATATACAGCGTGCGCCAGCTTTTTGGAAAATAAATACAAATGTATTTATACTTCGAAATTTTTTGTTAAAATTGCAACATTTATATAATTAATATGGACTTTTGGCCAGTCCGCTAATTTTTCTAGTAGATTATCGATAATTTTGAATGCTTACCTGCAACTCGCCAATGCTTCGAAAATTTCATAGTCAAATCTGAAGATCTATGTGATCACTACTGCTTGACATCAACCGTCAGGTCTAACTAATACAATCGTCTAGTAAATGTCAAATAGTGTTTGCCACATCTACCGACACAAAATTTGTCGCACCCTGTACAACGCATATTTACATAACGTATGTGTGTTTGTATGCAGCGTAAAACTCTCTGCAACACACTCGCAACAAACAAACAACACTTTTGTCTGCTTTTTTGCACCGCTATGAATTCAATTTGGCATACCATCTCGTATGTCGCCATATTTTATGTGCACTTAAGGATATGCCAGCATGTATAGAATTTACAACTTTCACGCGAATTAACAGCAAAATTTATTTTGGCTTTCCAACATGCTTTATATATATGCAATTGCATGTTTGAAGCATTTACGTTTTTTGTTTGCAATTCAGCGTTTCATCAATCCCGCGCTTACCATTTGAGCGATTTCGCTTTTTAGTAGCAGCTTCGCTGTGAAGCCAATGAAATTCTAAACGCAAATAATGCATTTGCAATCGAATTCAGTCAAATAAAAATAATTTCATGGAATTGAGTAGAGCTTTAATACTGTAATCCAACTGGAAACTGTAAATCTA